TGTCAAATATCTCAGGACCAACTCAGAATTCACTTTGAATTGGTGGTATTTTACAGATCTTAGTGGTGTTTCCTTAGTAAAGCTGTCTTTAAATTTTTATTATTATTCATTAATTTTTTAACTTTTTATTGAAGTATAGCAAAGGACATAAAGTTCACTCATCTTAGAGTGCAGCTTAATTCATTTTTACATATGTATATATCCACACAAGCATCACACAGATCAAGGTCTAGAACATTTGCAGTACTCTGGAAAGCTCCCTCATGCCTCTTCCCAGTTAATAACACCCTTCTTCAGAGGTAACTGCTATTCTGACTTGTAACAACATAGGTTAGATTTACCTATTCTTGAACTTCATACAAATGGAATTAGACAGTATGGAGTGTCTTATGCCTGGCTAATTTCAGTTAGTGTGATACTTTTGAGATTAATTCCTGATGTGCTATCTTCAGTTTGTTCTTTTTTTGCAGTATATTATTCCATTGTATGAATGCACCATAATTTATTCATTCTCTTTTTGATGCTGCTTAGGCTGTTACCTTGGACTGTCATTGTTGGGTCATAGGGTACGTATGTTTAGCATTAGTAAATAAAAGTAAAGCAGGCTTGACCCACCTACACCTGACATCCCCTCTATTTCCCTGTCTTTTTATTTCTGGCCATGATTCTTGGAAGAGTTATCCACACTTCTTGAGTTCACTTCCTATTCATTCTTTAGTCCACTATAGTCTGATTTGACTTTCACAATTACACCAAATTTGTTCACACTCAGGGTGGCCATTTGCTGTGGTATGAATGTGGCCCCCAAAGTTCATGTGTTGGAAACTTAATCCCCAGTGCAACCATGTGGAGAGGTGGGACCTTTAAGAAGTGCTTCGGTCATGAGTCTGATTTGACTTTCACAATTACACCAAATTTGTTCACACTCAGGGTGGCCATTTGCTGTGGTTTGAATGTGGCCCACAAAGTTCATGTGTTGGAAACTTAATCCCCAGTGCAACCATGTGGAGAGGTGGGACCTTTAAGAAGTGCTTCGGTCATGAGGGTTAACGACATTAACACAGGAATAGGTTATTATCATGGGAGAGGGTTCCTAATAAAACGCTCCCTTGCCCTTCTGTGTTCCATCACGGGATGGTGCAGCAACAAGGCCCTCACCAGATGCCAGCACCTTGGTATTGGACTTCCCAGCATCCAAAAGTGAGAAATAAATTTCTTTTCTTTATAAATTACCTTTTTATTTATTTTTATAAATTTTATAATTTATAAGTATAAAATATATAAATATATATTCTATATAATAATATATAATATAAACATAATATATAATAATGAAATATAAATTTATCATAGAAATTTATGTTATATAAATTACCTTTTTATTTATTCTTTATAAATTATGGTATTGTTATTAGCAGCACAAAACAGACCAAGATACCAGTTATATCTTTATTGCCAAATTTAATACACTTTAGTAACAATCCCCTCTTTGAAAATGTTGAAATGTCTCCTCCATTTAGTGGAGCTACTCTTTCTTTTCTGGTTCTTTTAATTCTCTGTCTTCATTACTGACTCCCCAATTCCCCACACACACCAGTACCAACACATCATGGAGTTGTTTCCCAGAGTTCCATTTTTTGGCTTCACCTCTTTGTGCTTTTGTCCAGACCATGAATCTGCCAGTCTGTTGCCCTGGCTTACACACTGATGACTGTCCAGTCTGTTTCTCTGGCTCCAGTCTCTCTCCCGACCATATCTCTGTGGACATTGTCCTCCTAGTTAAATGCCCTGCCTTGTTGAATGATGACAAACCTATCATTCACCCAAACTAGAATCATCCTAGACCCAGCTTTCTCCATTGGATTTCAGATTGTCATTTAATTATCTGTTATAGCGGACTTCTTTTTTGATCTCCTAAAAGGGCAGTTTGAAATTTTTGTAGGACCTCAAACTTATACAATTTGGAGGTCCTTTATGAGGAAAAAATCCACAAAATTATTATAGACACATATATGTACGAAAGTAAATTTCTATTTAGAATGAGAAAAGGACAAAAAATTGCAAATTTAAAAAGCTTTCAAATAACCACAAACATTTAAAAAGTATTTCTGTTTTTGAACAGCCTGATACTTCTTTAAGTTTTCTTCTATTTTGTGGGTTGCATAGTTTGAATATCTCTTCAGATGATAGCACTTTGTGATATTTTTCATAGAAAGAAAAGAATGATAATCAGTTTTTCTTCTAGCGTGTTTCTTCGCTCTCCACATCTTTCTTGTCCAGCACATAGTTTGTGTTGTGTTCATATTTCCCCTGGCAGCCTTGTGTCATGACGCCAAATCAGTCTGCCCTATGGGTGGCAGAAGCCATCCTGAAAGTCACTTCTGTACTAGGACAGTTATCAAACACTTTACTGTACAAGGAAGTGACTACAAGTATTAGGTCACTAAATCTAAAATTAAATTCTCGTTAGCAGCATCCCCCAAATGCCCATAGTTACTCCAGAGCTGCCTGATACAAGGTGGAGTGAGTTGGAGTGCAAAGAGATGGTGGTCTTAACCAAATATAGTTAAAATATCTTATTTTTCAAATTTTACAATAGCATATGATCCCATGAAAGAATGTATTGCCCAGGTTCCTTCCAGGGCTTTGGAAAGGACCCACAAGAGCCTTAAAATTTAAGCTCATCAGCTTTGTGGTAAATTGCCTTTGGTCTCCTATACCTGGTTTGTCTCCTTCTGACATAAATTCTCTCAGAATGATCATCCTAGAATACAAGTCAGATCATGACTCTCAATGCTTTGAATCCTTCAGAAACTTTCTACTTTTCTCCTTTTATTTTGGAAAATTTCAAGCCTAAGAAAATTGACAAGAATAGGACATTGAATCCCAGAATTTATAAACACACTCACACACACACACACACACACTCACTTTTTTGTCTGAACTATTTGAGAGCAAATTGTAAACATTATGGGATTTCTTCTTTCCTAATTGCATCAGCATGTATTATCTAAGAACAAGGCCATTCTTCTATTAACCATAATAAAATCATCACTCAAAAAATGTAATATACTATTATTTATTATACTGTTATTTAAAATATAATCTATATTCACATTTTCGCAGTTGTTTTAGTAATGTGCTTCATATCTGTTTTTTTTCACAATCCACAATGCAATTAAGGATTACACTTTGCATTTAGTTGTCGTGTCTCTGTACTCTCTTTTAATTCAGAACAGTTCCCCAGTGTTTTTGGGGGGGGGGTATCTTTTATGATATTGACATTTTTAAAGATTCCAGGCCCATTATTTTGCATAATTTCTTCAGTTATGATAAATGTGTTTACAAAATAGTGATTTTCTATCATTCCTTCTACACTTATTAGTTGAAATTCTTCTGTACATCGAGCTTTCCATTCTCTCTGCTCCCTAATCTTTCTTTTAGAATTATTATGATTCATTGATTTGTTTTTTTTACATTCAGTATTTTATAATCTTTCCCGGTTATTCTTTCTGATGTTCACATTGCCCCATGTTTGTCTGGCAGGAGCCTTTTCAAGCTAGCTCCAATTAGTTTTTAAACACTTCCTTATTTTCTGGCAGAAGATATTCTAGGCTTGCTTTAGATTTTGCCTGCTCCAGCTCTGGAATCAGCCATTTCTTCAGGGAGCTGGAGCAGGCAAAATCAGCCATTCCTTTTAGTGAATAATGATATTTAGAAACCAAGATCTGGGTTCTAGGGTGCTCATTACTTTAGGTGTCATT